AGGAAAAAGTAATATATATTTAAAAAAAGCGGAAATCTAGTTAGCCTTTAATGGTATTCTTAAATCTTGGGAAATAAACCTTACTAGAATTAAGTCAATCACGCCTGTTTAACTCGATTTCCTTTTAAGAAACCTATTACAGGCCGCAGGGACCATTTCGAGCAAAGCTACGAGCTAAATTGCTCCAAGGTGGAGCCAGTCAATTTAAATGTTAAAGAAGTTTCATTTAAAAATTGACAATGCAAATTTTATATTTGTACAAAAGATACTTTGGCGTAAGTGGGTACCTACTATGGAGTTGCAAACATTCAAAGCTTTAAAGACCCAAATACCCTTAGACTTCCTTTAATATTATCTAATATTTGTTTTTAGTAGAAATTTAAGTTAATTTAAATAGTAAGGGTCCTGTTAAAAGTAATTATAACTGAGAATATACGTTTTTTCTTTGCATACTTTTTATTATGCTTGTGAACAGAAACAAGGATAAAACATTTTGCTACATATCAAATAGAATATGAAACTAGAAGTTGTTTTAAAGTCATTACTGACTTATAGATATAATCTCACTCAAAATCTAAGAAGATTTAAAAAGGATATGATTTGCATTTTATTTTCTTCTCGGTTCTAGATTAATGAAAAATAGTACGGTAAAATTTAGAAATATAGTATTATGAACTATAAAATAAGTATTAATATCGAATTATTAATTTAGTTTTTGGTAATAAGGAATCTTTCACTGCCTTCTTAAAGAAAAGATATGGAAGGCTGTACTGAAATAGGTAAATCTTTCCAAAAAAAGTGGATTGAGGTGTGATAGATTGTTTTTATGTATCATTATTAAATAAAGTAATTTAATTTCTTTCCCTATTTGTGTGTAGTAGTTAAAAGTTCTTTACTGAAACATTACAAATTATACGTTTTAATCGTTTAAACTTACAAGCAATATAAATTCTGCAAAGTTGAGAATGAATCAAAGGGTTCCTTCAACATTTAAAGTATCTTGTTAAAATCAGACTTACAATAATGAACACACTTAAAAAAAAGGTTTATTGAGCAAATTTGATGATAATTAGGTAAACTAAACGGCGATTTAATAGATAATAATTCAGATATCTTTTGTTTTACTGTTTTTTTTATTTCTTACAAACAAAAAAGGAATGCTTGGTTTTTGTATTATTTGTATCATGAACGAAAATAACCGGACAGCAATATTGTATATATACAAAGTATCATATAACGAGTGACGCTGCTAACTCTGCGAAACGAACACCTGGTTGTGTGAGCTAGAAAAATCGTGATACCACACAAGCAATAGGATGGCATTGCTACCCTAACATCAGGGCAACCATGTAACCTTGAGTATGGATTATGGTTTAGTTTGGAAATATCTATGTATATTTTGTCGTTTCCTTACAAGCCTAGTTAGCTATATTTGTTTATTTGTTTTCAAGAATAAGACTAAATTATTACGGTCAAAATTATCTCAGTTTCACTAAACGATTCTATTGTTCCATAGTTGCATTTTATCTATTACAAATACAAATTGCAATACTATATTCAGTGACATTTGAGTAATAGTTTTTGGTGTGAAGGAATATATAGTGTGGCATACGTGAATAAAATTGCGTGTGGAATTTCGAAATAAAACTGTTCCGTGTTAATCTAGGTCACGATTTACTTTTTGCATTTTTTTACTTTCAGCTATTCACAATTGTTTATAAAAGAATAACTTTTAGGTTTCTAATACAAATAAATTCCAAAGAATTTCGAGGTTTTATGTTTTTTGTTTATAATATAAATACTCATCCTTTTTCTATTCTTTGTGAACACGGCGACTGGCAAAAATATACTTTTTTATTTGATGGAAGAACTGAAATATTTTTAAATTGCCTTTCAATAAAGGTAATTCTGTACTTTCTCCTCTTGTTAATTTACACTTTACATTATTTCATATGGGTTTATATTTAGCAGCACTTAAATGGGTAGGTGTCAAAAACACATGATATTTTCAATACAGCTACTACTGATATTCTAAATATAATTTTTAAAATGTGAACGTCGAAGCTGTAAAGTGTTATGTTTAAAACTCTAAGTTTCCTTTTGCGCGGCCATTGTTATTTATTAAAGCAAAATTTTCGTTATAAAAATAAAAAATATAGCGTACAGATTTATAAAATCCAAGATGGGTACGTGCTGTAATTTTAAAAACTAGACTGACAGTGATGGTCATGGTACATATTCTTAAAGCAAAAAAAATACATTTTGCTATTCATTTTTTCAATTTGTGCACCCTTGAAATATTGGCGTAATGATATATTTAAATTAATATTAAATCCGTTTTGTTATTTATTAAAAGTGTTCATTATTTGAGACAAAAAGATTATATTTTTGTAATCAATGCGACCGACTTTTTTAAAATTCATATTATAGGAATATATATAACATAAAGAATGATGTAAGACATTTAAATTGAAAAAAAAATAGTTTTACTTATACGTAAAACAGATGACAACAACAAAGGATGCATGGTATCACTATTTTATTATTCAAAAATGCTGCGCCACGGAATTTATTTGTATTAAGACATCTGTTCGGAATAAATACGATCGAGAAACGTGATAGTTACTAGCCTTTTACCCTACGGCGATGTCCTGGGTCTAACGTCCTTATCCCGGGGGAAACTTTTGTTTTTCTCGATAAAACTGCCTGCGCTAAGAATCTCTACATAAAACACTAAGAGTATTTGATATGTAATCTTTTAAGGACGGGAATCGCAATGTCGTCGCGGCGTTCTTGATATCTTATACGCACGTTATGACGTTGACCTTCTTATTACGTTTGGAATATATTTTCCTCAAGAAAAAAAAATACATTTCCTTATTAATAAAAACTAAATATGTTTCATCTTTTTATAAATTCAGTTTGGTCAGTGGTTCATTAAATATTTCATATCATATTAGTCCGGAAGCTTTGCATATTGAAGTAGGATTATAGAGAAATTTAAAAATTCTTTAAAGAACACGTATTTTAAATCATATTTCTGGACAAGGTAAAGCCACAACGTTATTCCCTAAGATACTGTTTTTTAATTTTTATTATTACGCTGAATCGTCGTTAAAGATATGTAACATATAAGACTACATTGTACAATGTACATTCATATAATGTATAAACTTTATCACAGTAAGATAGTTAATCTGCGAATAGCGATTATTATCTATATTCATATTTCATATTATGGACTATAATCATTGATCATTCATATTTTTATGACATAATAAAGTATCCTTGAAGTAAATTATAGACTTTTATTTATTGTAATTTCTTGCACATCAATATATGTAGATATTTTATTATATTGTTATTGTGTCTTGTAGAAACAGCTCTCCAGAATCAGATTCTGTGGCGTAATCCACACTAAGCTTCCTGTTCATTATCAGCTGTCAATAAGAATAATCCAATAAATTCTCGATGTAAGCACGGACACTTTAAGTCTTTGATTATACATATATGTACTGTTGCTATTTAGAAAATGTTACGAGATATTATATTATATTCAGATTCTTAATTGTACTATTACATACAGAATTCTGATGTGTCTACGTATGTTATGAAACTTCACTTAAAGGGCTGAACTGATTTAAATAGTTTTTTTTCTTTGCATTTTGTGGCATTACAGTTCGTATCTAGGTTGTTTAAAATTAAAAAGATTCAACGTAGGATAGTATATGTATTGCTTTGGCACATTTTATACATTCGTCTCTAAGCTCTACTCTGATGACCACGCAGACGGGGTTGCGGGAAAAAACATATTTACATAATAGGTTTGTTTGACAGTGTTCGTTATTTATTGCAAAATAATAAGTAATAAGTATAACCAAATACGCGTCAACATTCTTAACGCTTAGAACCATTATTATTAACCTGGATATTATAATCCTATAATATTATAAAAATAATTGAAAATTTATAAAGTGATAATTACGAGCCTGCGAGAGCACGCAGTTTATAAATTATCTTCAATGATTGATACATGAATCTTTAAAAACACAAATATGTTTTTAAAACTTATCAAATTATTAAAGAGTATGAAATGAAACACAAGATATGTAAGCGTTGCTTTATTTTATTCACATATATTTGGCAGTTCCATATTAAGAATCATTACAAAAACATTCTATCCCTATAAGATCGTAAGTTCTAATATTCCTAACATGTACAGATATTCTAATATAAAATTAATTTAAGTATATTGATGTTTAATTAAAATTCTTTGTTGTTATTCATAATAAAAATCAATTAAAATGATCTAAACTTTAAAATTTTCTTACAATACTTTGAAGTAAACCAATTAACGGTGAAGCGAAGAAGCTTATAGACTTCGTAATACGATATTAATTCTGAACCGTATTAATAAATGATTGACAACTCAAGGCATTAATATCATAAATAACAAGAAATATTTTAAACACATGCTTCACTAAATAATAATTTTAATATTTCGTTGCAAAATGTTTATTGAATTTACGTAGTCTAACAATTAAGCTGTACTATTTTATAATATGTATATCCCACTTATAATAAATAATTAGTAGAAATAGGAGTATGTATATCTTTTCGTATGTTAAGTCGTTGTCACTCTAGTGACGTGCCATACCATTTTAAAATATTTACAGACTATTAGAATAAAAAAAGTAAAACAAATTATCTCAACAAATCTAACCCAAAAAAATACATACATTTATAAAATACATACGTTTAGCTATTTACACTGTAAGTTAGAAAGCATGTTAATGATTGTTTTACCATTTGTTTAATGCAAGCTCCTAAAGATACAAAGCAGAGATTCAAGTAGATCATGAAGTTAATATGAGGTTTAAGTATGATTAAAAATTTAGTTTAGGTATTCGTGATAAATATTATTGTCTTTTCAGCTTAAAAGAAATGTTACGGAAACTTAAATATTTATGGAACATGCATAGCTATATACAATATTAATATCAGGAAAGCACCTGCTTTAATAAGTGTTGAAGCGTTATGAAAAATAAAGTTTTTTCTAAGGTTGGAGTAACAGCGGAACTTTCTTCTTCATAGAAATCTGTAATAGGAAACGTTAATTAGTATTTTTTATTATTAATATGAATCAGTCCGCCTCTGTAACATTACTAAATATAAATTCGCGTAGATTTTTTTAAATTTTTGCACAACGTAATTAGTCAAAGTGAACGTGCTGCGGCATAAAAATTTAAATTTACTTAATAAAGTTAAAACAATAAGATTGAAATGAAATTACTTGGCAGTTTTTCAAAATCAAGATGTCAATTATACAATACTCTGTCTAACTTCGAAATCCTTGAACAGAAGTAAGGATTGAAACCTTAAAAGCTGTTATTTGAACCAAAATCGATGTGGCCGGCGAACTTGCGGTTTTTTATCGATTAATCACCCTTTTCTATCTAATGGTACTTTTGTTTTTAAAAAATTCGTTTCTCTATTCTTTCCCTTATAATAAATTTGTTTTTTAACAAGAAGTTGTTAGAAGAAATTAATGTTTGATTGAATTGTTAATATTATCAATTATTATTACCGAAGTCTCTTATTTGTTCACCATAGGCTTCACCTTGAAATGTTGAGCTGATTGCGTCATTCCTCTGTGATATTTGCAGTTGACCTGGAAGAAAAATGCCTTATTACTAAGAACAATATTTTAAAAGAGAAAGCGAATTATGCTGAAGCACTTAAAACTCTTTTTTACCTTTTTTCCTTATCGTTTGGTTGTCCAGCACAGATTTTTGTGTTGTGGTAAACGCTGATGGCGGTGCTGGTATTTCTGAATAATAAATTTATTTTTGTATTAAATGAAGAGAAAAATAATCAGTACATTTTAAGTCATTTTATTAGCGCTTTCATTAGTTCATATAATGCATAATTACTGTAATCTTGTTGAACAGAATAAAATTTTCTTACCAACAAAAATATTGTATTATTAAAATACAAAACAAATTTATATGTGAGTTTAACAAGGGACAACCTAATTATATAAAGTACCATCGAGTTTGATGATTCCGTCCGTTTCTCCTAAAGAGTTCTTCGCAATACATTTGTAAAAGCCGAAGTCCTCCTTCGTGATATTGCGAATTTTCAGCATCATAAATTTGTTGTAGCCGCTATCCACCGGGAACGCTTCGTACTTGCCACCTACAATTTCCATTTCTACTTAAATATAAAACCTGTGTATTTCCGCTTTAAATATAGGTGTAGTTTGGTGGCTATGAAATAAATGGACTGTAAAGACATAAATGGAGTGAAATCACGTATTAAGATTGAGGGTCTCTGCGAAAAGGGGAGTTTGTGGTATCAAAACAATGATATATGCATACAAATTTACTGTCTTCGGATTTATATCACACGCACTGTAAACCACACAGCGCGGGACCGAGATTCAGTCGGGTAGAATAATTGTATGTGTTCTTGAAGGGAGAAACCAGTAAGTTATGGTTTATAGTTTCCACTAAATGTTCACTAAATGATCTTGAACAATCAGTAATCACGTTATGTTTAAATATTTTATACAAACTCCACATAAAACTTATAAAACATCTAAATTCATTGAGGACCCAACTTCATTATAACATTTTTCATTAAATTAACCCTGTAAACTACATACACAGAGTTTATGAAGTAAAGGAATAATTTCCAACAAAAATTTTGAAAAAACGTAACAAGCTGAGTTCGCAAAAGCTAATTTCCCTTGCAAACGGGATGACGTCGCCGCTGTAAACTGAAAAGTTTACCGACGGTCATCAAGCGAAACTAGCCCCGTGAAAATTTGGAAACAAATTTAGATATCAAAATTCCTGTGACACCACATTTAAGTTGTGTAAAATTATATTTAGCCATTTAACATCTCGACATTTACATTTACCATGAATGAGTTCATGACATTTAATTATAAAAGTTTATATTTATGATTGTTACGCCAAAGTAAGAGTACAAAGCTTGTCAAATTTATACATTTTTACACAATCTCGTTATTCATTTATACATTCATCAATGTCTTCATACAATTGTTTTTACATCTAATAGTAGAAAATTAAAACAAAAACAATTTATTAAATTTACCTTCACTAAAAGACATGATAATTCTCATAAAGATTATGCTCTACATACTATTACAGTATCATTGTTTTAATTAAATTAACTTTGTTTTATTTAACTAGTAATGATATTGTTTCTATAATCACAAACACGAGATTGTTATCATATATACCTAAGGGAGCTAGTTTATGTAAACTACAGTTACTGAGTTACCTTTAATGTGTTGAAGAGGTCAGATGGCAATCTCTCTTTGTGAAAAGTATTAAACTGATCACGGTTTGATAAACATGAATAATGTGAAACGATACGCCTCCCTTGTTCAGAGTTTACAAATAATCAATAAAACAGGTGGTTAAAATTATATACTACTTGTATACTAAGAATGAGGGGAGTGTCTATTTATGGAATTTAAATCATTAAATTATTAATATGGAAGGTTATATGCGTGTAAGGTATAAAATTAACTTAAAAATTCTATGAAGTTTTATGTAATGGAATCTGTAATACTAAATTTATTCTTAAAAGTATCATAGATATATGTATTCTCTACTTTTAGTCACGAACTATTTTCATTATCAGCTCATAAATCAGTGATGAATTGCGTAGTATTATATTTGACAGAGACACATGTTATTTAGTCTGACATGATGAATGTCTTCCATTATGTAAGTTCTATTGTTCCGATTGGAACTTTAGATTTAAATATACTCTGCCAAACTTATTTCTACTAAGATTCAACATTTATTAACAACAGCATTATTAAATTTGTTGAACGAGTATGTTTAATGTAAACTTAAGAAGACTCAAAAGGAAATACAAAAGTAACTCACAAAAGGAATCAACGTTTAAAAGAGACTTTGTAAATGAAATAGTAAAGTTATACATTGAGTAATACATTTATGAAATTCAAATGAAATTCAAATAAATCTCACCGGAAATAATCATATCTCCACGATCAGTCGTCCAATAGTTGATTGAGGAAGGATAGGCCTCAGTGTGACATTCCAAAGTGACATCTTGGCCAATATAGGCTCCTTCCAGTTGATTTGGAATTGACAGCATTGGAGGGACTGTGATTGTAAATATTAATTTAAACTACTCAAACAATAACATCATTTCACTCTATCAAGTGAAATAATAAAAATACATTCATATAAACAAAAATGGCTTTTTAAGATAGTTAATACATAATTTATTTGTAGCCTGTACTGATATCAAATAAATATTAAGGAAATATATCAAAAAAATATTACATTATTAATAGAAAACGAGGTTAAGGAAACATGAGAGGGGTTGTCTGTTATAGATGTATTTAAAGTTTATAGGGTGTTATAATTGTTAAGGTTTCCTACAAACGATACTTACATTGGACCATGAGCATAATGCGTTTGCTAATAGACGGTGGAACACCATTCGAAGCTATGCATAAGTATGCTCCCATGTGCAGTCGTGATACTTTCGAGATTGTTAAAGTTTCCCCGTCAACAACACTTACTGATAAAAAATAAAACAAAGTCATTAACTAGTAAGTTAATTGCAGTAGAACAAGCATAAATAATCAATTTAATTATAGAAATGGCTATCGTATTACTTCTTAAAAATTTAAGTAAGCATTCGATTAAATACATACAAAGAATATATTGTTCGGAAGTAGTCTTGCAAAGATGCTTTCGCCGAAAATGAAAGCAAATTATAATTGAAGTCTCTTACCTGACTCTCCGTTATAATTGAAATCCTGTCCGTCTTCTCTTCGCCACATGGCGTAAGGTTCGGGATATCCAGAGGCGCGACATACCAGGGTAACGTCTGTCCCTTCCCGGACAACCATGTCCGTAGATGTCATGTTATCGATGATCGATGGCGGTACTGCCGATAAGTAATTAGGGATGTATATAAAACAACTTTCTTTACATATACTAGTATATACACTCTATCTATATGTGTCTAATAATGATAATGCTGTTTGCGTTATTCTAATGAAAGCCTAAGTAAGTAAAATAGGAAGCATCTAAAAGTTAGAAAAATTTGCTGTTTGTTAATGAAGAGTACATAATTATATTGCAGTTTTTGGTTCGTTAAATTAATGAAAAACAGAACACATGACGGAAAAAGGTTGGTTTACAAATTCTGTTTCACCATCCATGAAATAAGTTAATATAAAGTCCTTCAAACTTTGTTACCACACTAAACATGTATTCCAAATTTCCCCGTATTTACTTAGGTAAAAACGTTTTAACTTTCAGTTGCAAGTTCTAAGCCACACAAGATAAGTAAAAAACCTTAAAAGGCAGTACCTTTGTAAGTATTGTTATTCCCTAAAAACTTGTTATTCAATATCTACTTGAATGTAATGATATTTTCAAAGTTATATTTATTAAACCACAATTTAATAAAACAAGGTTTTATGTCGCTCCAGGTGGGGATCCATTATTATTACTGTTGTATATTAAATTTTAAATCATACCAAATTATGCTTTATTGTAAGGAACATTAAATTGATAATAGAATTAGCACAATCCGGATTGATCGTTTATTGTAATTAGGACTTTAGTTGCATAACGAATATTACATTAATCATGTGGTTAATTAAATTATTTTTAAATATTTTGAGTTTAATTTATTACAAGCAACAAGTTTTTTTTTTAATTTTCCAATGACACTTTAAACACAATTAAAGCAAATAACAAATAAGGAACTTAAGAAGTGCTTAATATTTTTAACAAAAAATAACCTGCAATGTTTATTATTTTAATAACACTAACTCAATAACGCTTGTATGAATCTGATTTATTAATTATTAAATGTGTTATTATTTAAATTAGTATACAAAATAGATTTTTAAATTACATTTTTATATCCGTAACTTTCCATTACGTATTCTTTAATTTTAATCGTTCCCATACTTACGAATATGTAAGAAAATATATTGACTTTAGATAACGTAGACAAGTAATGACGATATAAAATGTTTTGCGTAATGAAAATTAAATCGTAGTTGCTGGATAACATATTGACCTCAATGAAATTTAATATAAACTGTATAAAAATAAATAGATACCAAATTCTGTTGAACACAAATAAGGTTATCCAAAATCGGTTCACAAACAAACCAAAATTATCAAAAAAAATATATATACAGTATAGTTTTTTACAAAATGTTTAAAACAACGTGTACCGTGGTATTGAGGTCATTTTAATAATGGAATGCATATTTTCATAAATTCATTTTATTATAAATATTTGTGAAGCTGTCACGAGAAAAGATTAAGTGGATAAAATGTTATGAATAGATATTTATGTGCTTTGGAATATAATGCATAAGATGTATTACATTGGCTTGTGTAAACAGTAAAGCTCCAAGCGTTATTAATTTTGTACATACCAACAACTTGTAGGTATCCTTTCCTTGAGCGCATTGGGTCTGTGTTGACCTGACACATGTACCAACCACGGTCTACTTCTTGAACGTTCTTGATATGCAAATACCATGAGCGATGGTCGTTGTAGGAAAGACTAATTCGTTTGTTTTGAGTAATAATATTATGATGGATGCTGAGAATTGTCTGCGTGTCCATACGAACCCATGCAACCTGTTGTAATAAATAAATATTTATGATTTTAATTATAAAAATATAACGTTTTACTTTCATGTTTTTCAAGTGGATGCGTTTTTTGATATTTAAAATAGTTCTATAGTAGATTACATATAATATAAAGAAAAAATCAAAGTTTTAGTACATTTTTTAATCTGCGAATATAGTCTAAACAAAAGTCAATATACTCTCTCTTCTTTCTTATATATCACATATTTAATAAAAAATATATTTTATCTGAATATTTACCTTAAATCCTCTTAAATTATCGACAACGCACGCTAATAAAGCATCTCTGCCAACGGTGACTGTGACATTCGGAATTGGCTCAGCGAATCTTGGATACATAGACTCTGAAATAAGATGTTCATTATGACCTCGTTGACAAAGGGAACACAAACATGTTTACTCGCAATAAAAGTTTCTTCGGAATAAGTTGATGAGATGGGTTGATACTTGATATCCGAAGAAATACGGATAGGTTAGTTAAGCGAATGCGGTTATGATTTGTTTAAAAAATTATATAAGATAATGTAAGAAAATATGAGTAAAAAAAAATCACAGTAATTCTAATAATTGATAGGGGAATGAAGAAGAAATATTTATTAATTATTAAACTGAACAGTTTACAAAAGCGAAAATATTTCCATCAAATTGAATGTATTTTAACGCGAACGCTAGTTCTATGTTCGCGGCTTAAGGGACGGTTCCATCGCGTCTCCGAGGGTGCGTGATTTATGTCCAGCTCACCACGACAAATAGCGGTTTGTCACTGTATCACTCTTCCACGTAAAATAGTGTACCATGACCCTAAAACCTTACTTAAATAAAGTATCGGGTAACGTCTAATAAATGGCAACTCTAAGACTGTAAACTACTATTTTTTTCTTCCGATCTCGATGATAAGACTATTTATTTATAGAGTAGATAAAATATTTTCATAATATGATAAAGAATTTCATAATAATTCTCTATGATAGGTTACCTTTCGCTCCTTGCTTATTCAAGGAAAGTAATATTAAATTAATACTGCTAGTGACAGGGACAGATTACTTAAGAAATAGTCTTCTTATTACGGCAAAATTGCCCTACTTTCTACACACCTTTGTTTGATCGATACTAGTGACAAGATTGTTACGACTACGTCTGGAATGTTATGAAAATTGTATTTTCTTCTCCAATAATTTTATATATTTATATCTTATTACAACTGATATATTGCTATGTTATAAAGTATTTAACTTGTTTTGTTACGGACATATTAGAAAGAAGGGTTAAGTTAATATATCAAATAAAAAATATAGGGTTTGTAGATTTGATCTGTAAATTGGAATAAAACATTTTTTTATTATAATGCCTCTGCTGTAAATATATAATGTAATATGTTAATTATAGAAGGATGTTATCGTCGAATTTACATGTCTAATTCGAATTATAAATCTATTTACTGCAATCGGCGACGTCAATTTACCGTATAATATTTGCAGTTCGATAAGATTGAGACAGCGCTTTAGATTAGATTTAGCGTAGAAGGTTTTAGTGTCAGAATAACTGAGATTATATGCACAAAGATAACTATTCCTAGCTTTATAGCGTACTTTAAAATAACCGTTATCCGGTTAAATTGTTATATTTGAGAATAATTTTATATAAAGATTATCTAGTCATGAAAACGAAAATTTTGCGTTGAAATTATGTAATTTTCCATTTCAATATCATTGAAGTATCTCTTTATTAAATTTGATCTTTTTGAATTCTTTGTTTTTATGACTTAAGTTAAAAAACGGTAACCTTAAAAAGGGAGAGAAAAACTTAACATACCAATAAACATCAAAATATACCCATATCTATAAACTCGTGTATCTTTTATATCAAAAACACAATACCTTTAAGAGACTTAACAATTTTATAATTTCATTACTGGTTAAAAATAACAAAGAAAAATTTAAAAACGTCAAAAAATATATGCGGAATTATTAAAATCACGCAAAGCTGCATAAGGGATTTTTGGCGAGCTATATAAAATATTTAACAAGGTAGATTGAAGATACGAACCATGTTTTAAGTATGTATTGAAATTGGCTATAATTTTGATATGGGTAATAATTATTTTTCGTCCATACCTTGACCCGATTCAACGTTATATTTATAAAAGATTACCGAACACCTGAACGCTTATTCCAATAAATAATTAATGTGTAGAAGAAAACAGCTGTCCATAACATAAATTTATATCAAACAATAGCTTCCTGCGACGATTTAATTTAGTATTAACAATATTTCATTTTATAAGTGGAACATTACGAATGGAAGCAGTAATTTTGTATTAAAAAATATGTCAATACATCAATCTTTAAAAAAAAGTTACTTACCGTCGGGAACGTCTATCGGCGCTACAGATACTACATTTTGACCATTCGGTAGTTCCCGACCTGCAAGCAAAAAACTATCTAAAATAAATCACTCCCTTGAAATAAAAAGTTTATATACAATTTGATTTGATAAAATTATTATCAGCCTATTGGAGCCCACTACTGAAAAGCCGTTTCTCACACGGAGAAGGTTAGAGCAATAATCCCAATGCTTGCTTAAGGCGGGTTGGTGATTTGAAACTTAAAATTAGAAATTACTAGTCTAGGTTTGATCACGACGTTTTCTTTCACCGCCGGTAAGTGGTGTCTAAATACTCTTAGAAAGTACATATAACTCGGAAAAATTAATTTTAGTACTTGTCAGGTTTTGAATCCGCACTCTCTTACACGAGAGCCGGGCATTTAAACTCTAGGCCACCACGATACACTTGAGAACTTATTTGACTTGAAAACTTATTTCATACTGAACAAATAATTCATGTATGTAGTAAAAGTTAAACATAAAACACTTTAGTCATACACAGCAAAAACTAATACTCTTACTTCTGTCTGTAGTATAATAGCGCAAAATACGACGGGAATGAAGAATGTTATTTAAAATAAATGAACGCTTATAATCTAACAACACAAGTGACAATAGCTCGTATCTAACCTAGATATTAGAGAATACAATACCTTAATCTAGTATAAAGGATATTTCTAGACAAGTTAAGATAATTACGAAAATATTCGAACAAACTTTGGAACAACTTGTCTAGTTCACTATAATAACTTTCTCAATCGATCATTACAATATTAAAACACCATCCACTTAATGGTATCAACCTGGCGTTATTCGAGTACAATATCGAGTTAAACTTTACTACGTCGTTAAAAGTTTCAACTGTTTAATTGCCATGTGTACAACTACGGTGCTAAGGGAGTTTTTGTTTTATTTATTATATTTTAATGGCAGTACAGGCGGTCATTAGAAAGAATTGTCAAATTTATATATGGAATTATATCCCTTTAAGCACAGGTAACCATAATATACCATAAGTATTGCTTTAAAGTTTATAAGAAAAAAATTTGTTCGTATTAAGTTAGTTATAAAATAGTTGTAAAGAATTGACATCTCGTTTAGAACTAGTTTTCCCATGAGAGTGTCGTCCACTTACAGAATATCAACCTGTACCTAGTACACCTTGTAACTGGAGTGAGTGAGATAGCCGAATATTTTGTCTCTTTTTGGTCCTTTCTAATCCTCTTCCAAACCTTCCTATTTAAATTCCATTATTTCAATTGCGGAGAATGAAAAAAATCCTAAGTTATCTGTTTCTATGGGTGACGGTGATCATTTTCCATAAGGATCACTTATTGGTCGTCCCAAAACGGGTATCAATGTGTAGAAAAAGATTTCGAAAGTTTTTTCTCGTAATCTATATTTAGAACAATAAAATTTATAAATAGTGTAACAACTCCATGGAAACGTTTAAACACAAAGAAATGGCAATTTTTATCTCATCAGTAAAGTGCAATGTAGCACTGTGCATTCTAAAAAATAAAAACTGATATACAATTCAATATCTTCCCTCTATATAAATATAACCTGGTACCCTTTAAATAAATTGGTTACTTAAAATATGACGTCAAACAACATTGTCATCGGCACCATTAACTTTACTGTTATGACGGCAAACGTGATATTAAAACGTTAACGCAGTGTTTCAGAATACAGTCTCATAAACATTTTGTATCTAATTTCTTATACAGAGGCTCATTATTATCATGTTACAATATATATTGTCTTATTTCTTCAATTCAGTTATATTTTAGAATTATTCAATAAAACTTATTGTAAAAGTAATATATTTCATAATATATCTCCTAAGGCGCTCACTCAGTCGCAAATAAATGCGTTGAATACTTTTCGCTTCGGTCTTGATTTAAGTGTTACTTACTTTATTCTGTTACAAAGTTTGCCATAGCGTTAGTCGGCCTTAACTTCGGTATTGTCTATTATACAGAAACATTTATGTGAGAGGATTGCCTTTTGTTTACTGTCCTCTTTTGTTCGGATTGTACTTGTTTATCGGTTGAAGTATAGTTGAATACACTATCCCTAAAATATAATAAATATTCAAGAAGTTATGAAAGCAATAGAATTTTTATATTGAATTTTACTATGCCATAAATTTAATTATAATAATTGACTCTGTCATCTCTCGCATTACTTAGGATGGTTTTGAATATATACCATTAGGGGTACCGATGACAGCACCATTCCGAAAGCGACAAGGTTGTTCCATTATCGTCTACAGTTGAATAATTGACACTCACTATGATCCCTAGATACGTTTACGAGTACATAGTGTTTTAAAATAGCTTTATGGCATTGAATATTTTGATTTTTCGTTTGTTGTATCCATTTTTATGAAGCATAAATAAAAATCTAATCATATTGGACAATTTTTAAATTTTATTGGAAAAAGAAATTATGTTTTCCAACGCTTTAAAAGTTTAATGTTTTGATAAAGCTACAGTAATAAAATTTGACTGAAATTTATTTGCGAAATCTTGTTAAAGTCTGAGCAAAAACATAAAGATGAAAAATAATTAAAACAATTCCTAAACTATTATAAAGAAACTTTTTAGCAGAAATATTAATTGTTTCAAGAAACTTTTCGATGTTCATGTTTAAAAGTGGTACTTGAATGATTTTAAATGTTAAAAATAAATTTAGCTTCTAAAAATGCTTTAATGAGTGTTTGAAAATTTTAAATTATTTGATAAATCACATTATAATCAATATATTACTGGTTTTATTGTATAGGTAAAATGTTTTTGATATGGATTTTTAGTTTATATCAAATATTATTGAATATTTAAATTATTTATTTATTAATATTTGAAACTTCATGAATGCTACTAGTTCTAGTGTATCCAATAAACTAATGAAAGCCAACCTACGCCGGACAGAATATTAAATCATTGCGAATTTCATGGAAAGTTCTCTTTACCATCCAACATATTATATAATAAGTATTCTGAGGAAAGTAAATGATCTTTGAAAGTCAATCGATGGAGGTAATGTATAGAGGTGGTATGTAATAGATGTTATGAATTAAAATGAAAATATTATTTTTCGGATTATACTTTACATCAACCGTACTCACGGACAGACGAAATGTGAATGTCTGTCAGTTGCTCTTGTCAAAGTAGCCGAAACGACGATAGTATGTAGTTTTTTACAAAAATAAAATCACGTAGTATAATCCGAAAAATATTAGTTTCATTTAAATGAATAAAACTCGCGAAAATCCTAGATCTCATTAGATGTAATGAATTCGGCACTTAAGTCATTGTTTGTGTTTATACTCTTTAAACAATATATGATCGTATGTTTTATTGTACACGTGTATATAAACAATCTTAACATATTTATGTTTCTCTGTTATAAACAAATTTTTTATTTAATTACCAACATTAGGTTATTTATGTTAAAAGTTCAGGAATCGTAATACAAATTTAAAAAGTTTTGTTTTATGCAAATTAAGACAGTATACAATTCACTTGTTTCGGAATTTCTTTTGCTAAGGGTAAAAGGTAATTTTATTATACCTTAGCTGCCAAGAATTTTTCCATAGAAAGTAGGTTCTAGATTTTTTTATTAAAGAATTCCTTTAACCTTAATAACAAACGAAAAATCTTTCACATATTATGTACCCATAATATATATTTGTTTCGTTAACTATGTAATCTGTATCGAATGAAAATAAATAAATTATACACCCTAGAAGTAATGACTTAGTATCATTAGTGTTTTTGTATAAATAAGCTGTTTTAATAAATCCCTTAAATATATAATTCATTGCTTATTATACACATTGAAACCTCAAAGTTTTGAATCAACCGGATTGTCAAGTCGGAAACTTGTCCTACGATTGCTTTCAGGAGGTAGTCTTGAGAAATTCCATCAATCTTGTGGTCACTTGGACTGCGTTAAATTTATGTAAAAAGTGTAATAGTAAATCTTAAATAAGCCGGCTAACAATAGTTTTAATATTTTAAACCCACACGCTTGTGTCTAACAATAAGCGGAGAGTATTCGATTTAATATTTTCTGAAATTGGTGAATTACATAAATTTAAAATAAATATTAGATACTTATTGATTGCATTAATTTAATGTAATATTATGTTTTGTGGGGAATAAAATATAAATAATGCAAATTAAATAGTATTTCTTTGCTATTCTGTAAGTTTAATACAAGTGACAACTGCCACTTATACGACTATAATTATGTGTAATTAATAGACTGTTGGATATATTATAATTAAAAATGTTTTTATTATAAGTTGGAAACATTGACTTGAGGCTGCTATTTTGTACTTTAATATAATATTCTAAATTGAAAAGTATAAATTCTTTTTTGTTTGTCTAACATAAAGTAGATAACAGTTTTTCAGTTAGGGAATTTTACAATTTAGGACAGATCTAGTTTTTAGTTTTAATTATAATATGTTGGGTTTGATTTATTCATTCAAAAGCTTTTAATGTTAAAGAACTAAGACTTATATTTTTTTATTTCTGAACACACGCTTCATTTCAATATATTGAAAATAAAAATTCAGAACGTATATGTATAGGTCATATTATCTTTAAATCAAACTAGACATTATATTTTGATTTATTCATTTTTATTTGGACTGATTATTATCATAACAATTTCCATTTCTATTTTATTAATAACGATAGTATAACTTTAACGAGAAAGTAATTGAAACCGTAACTAAAGCACCGTCATTATGATTTGAAACAAATCATATTTTCACTCCAATCGAACATTTTTAGCTTTTAATTTTTTAGGAGGGATTCGATTACAAAATTTATTTGGAAAAAATATACAAATGAATGAATAACTCCGCTTAAGAGGCATGCAAATATTATTTTCGATTGTTATTTTAGGCTCTCGTAGCAGTATATAACTTACTATAATGATATTATTCGTATTGTCTTCAAAAAATTAATATTATTTTAATAAAAAGTCATATTTTCGCTTCGAGACAAGTAATTAACAATATAACAATAAACAAAATTGGAGACTTAAAATGTTTTTGTATTACATACTGTTATTCTTATAAATTATATTTATCATAATTTTTACATTTTATATAGCTATAATTTTAAAAGCATTATAATTGAACAAAACTTCAAACATTTTGTCTACATTTTAAGTAGTTTTTGTTTAGTATTTTATAGTCGAATTTTGATTATAATACAACAATTTGCTTGTACAGCTATAAAGGTATTACCGAGCGGTAACCGCACCGTCCCCGTAGAACTGAGGCCTTCGAGTTACAGCTTAGTTTAGAGTAAACCTTGCTGTGGTATCCGGAACACGTAAGTTTCTTACTAGTTTAATGTAATCGGAATCGATTAATTAATTTAATACCCGATCTATTTTAGTTTTATACAATAAATTTCAGCTTAATATTTGTTTTATAGCAACATAATGCGTATTTTGTTCAAATGTACTTTGAAGACGTTTTATTTCAAATATTATTTAACCGTCTTTATTTACTTTACTTTTAAAAGCGGTATGAAAATTGATGCAGTCGTCATTAGTAACAATGTACAATGTTAAGACCATGTCATGATTCTTCATATTTAAATTGTCGAATTGTAACTACAGATATAATGCTGAAGAATTTCTAAACAGCTTTTTATATATCTAAATAAATATTTTGATACAAAAGGAAAACGTTGGTACTAATAAAATAGTATATAATTATTTTCTTTTACAATTCAACGCTGACACGGAACTAATTGTAGGGATTATGGTATTGAATTTATATATAAAATTTGTTCATGTTGAATTATATGTCCGCATATCTGTTATAATATAACATATTTGGTATTTATTTTACTGCAATGTTTTTGGTCGGTGTAATAATGTACACAATTAATAATTAAATAACATTCAAACGCCCACATCTAAATTTATGTTATAATATTATAATTAAACATGCGCAGACTATGTATTCATATATACAGGGTGACTGGTGAATTACTATCGATATTTGAGGACGTGATATTTGACGATTATATATGACAAAATAAAAATTAATATAACATAAATATTAATAAACTTCTAAGTAAAGTCAACCAAAAGTTATGTAATTAATTACGCATCGTATGAACACCCTACAGATTAGGTATACACACACACACACACTCGCGCGCGGCGGCGTGTTGTTGTATCAGCACGCCGCCGCACGCGTCCACACTTGGAACACTTGGAACGTGTACACACTTTATTTATTTATACGGAAATTCGGTCAAAAATTAAGTACCTATTTTTTTACATAATTCGAATGAGAGTCATGTACCGAGTATGCTCCTTAAATATTGATAGTAATTCACCAGTCACCCTGTATATGTTACAATAATATTTGTATATTTCAATGGTATCTCTTTTCATTATTTTTTACTTTTCTCTTTAAATCAAGTTTTAATCTTTATTAGCTCACTTTTATGTCAACAAATTAATCAAAGGGATATTTTGACATCCTATACAAATATTAGCAATATTAATGAGTTGAAAAAAAAATAGAATTTAATATTTCTATAACTTAGTGAAAGAGGTATCCTAATTATGACGATTCAAATAAATTCTCGTATGTCAAATAATTACCACGTTGTTAGATATAGGTATAAGGAATTTTAAAACTCATATGGTAATATTAATCATGCATTGGACATGCTTACGTTATTCAAGAATAAGTAGCCAATATATACTTTTAAAGAACGACATGTTGTGTGACATGGCATACGATCGCGTAAACGGGAATCGAGTATCCCTAACAATCACAATAATACTATATTACTCAGCTTTATTTATTGCAATAATGGAATACATCCATAACTGTCTCTAGCCAGCGGATATCCGCGGATGACTCATACATCGACCCCTGTCCGTTTTGTTTGTGATTCTTCCCCTTGTAAACCGAATTATCTTTAAGAAATACGAGTGCTTCTTATCTCGACCCTCTGAATAAATCTTACTTCTGAAGAATTTCCCGACTGGAGTGGAGTCGTCATCTCTCAGATATAATTTAGACCACCTTTATTTTACCCTCGTAATATTTATCAAATTAAATTTTGCGGTCTCGTATTAAAATAACCAAGATGGTTTGAGCACGGTTGAATGAAAGAAAATATCGTACCACCTTTCCAGGGTTTCGTTATTGTTTATTTAATATTAATTATCTGAAAGACATTCTGGATGTTAACTATAAAGTATATAAGAAGGCAATAAAATAAAAATTATGTAAGTTTAATTAATTTGTAATAGAAAACCATACACATTTACTATGAAAAATAAAATTCTTGGTAATGGTAATTAAACTTTAACTTTAATAATTTCTTGGAATTCGTTGTAAGATAAAATCTAAATACTTCACAGCATCACCTGAATGTTCGATTTTTCATCCTTGTGTCAACTGATTTCAAGAAAATGTAATATCTAATAAATCATAGTACCTAAATATTTTGGGTAAACGTAGAAACATCCTTTACCTCACATATAGGAAAAGATGTCAGATAATAAGATCTGTTGACAAGAATCGAAAAATAAAGAAAATATCAAACTGGCATAAATACTATTATGTAGGTACTCTAGAATTGGAACGAGCGTGATAGTTCTGAGACAAAATATATGTTTATTATATGTTTATATCATTTTGATAACCTTTACATTTATTTATGTAACTGATTGCGCTTTATAATTTAATTGAGTAAATAAGTGTAGAGGAAGATAAAACGATATTTATATTACTTGCAGTCGATTTTAGCTGATTCGTATGATGTTAAAATTTATAACTTTAAAATTTTACAACAAATATTAATACGCTACATACAGTAGATTAAATAAAAAAACTTAAAAGCCATTGTTTTATATTTTGGTGCTAAATCCTCGGACGTGAAGTTTTTATTTTTTGTATCAATAAATGTCATATATTTCAAAAAAGGTAAAAAAAATATGTGTACTGAGTTTAATTAACAAAAATTTATAAAAAAAAAATGGGAGATGAATTATACTTCATCAATTTAAAATAAAAAACAATAAATGATTAATGTCTGTTTCGTATAAATTATATTTAAATTGATTGCAGTGTTACAATGGATGAAAATTTTAATATTTCCAATCAATAAAAACTATTCACAAGTTACTAGAAAACTCAATAAAAATGCTAATTGCATTCGCCACTCACCTGTCGTACTGCAGCATACCGTCAACAACGTTATCCAAATGACACAATAAAAATGTATAAAAAGAGTCATTTCGCAGTCATATGAAAAAATACGTATTATTAAAAATCCGAAGTTCACCTATGTTGTTCTCGAACGCGTATGTCTGGTGTTTCGTAAAGAGCACGTGCCATCGCTACGCGGGCTGCGGAAGCACTGCCGCGGGGCGCCAGTCGCAGCCCCTAGCCAGATAAACAAGGGCGAGAAAACCGGGAACAAGCAGACATACCGTCTCGCTAGCCTTTATACCCGCCGAATAACGACATAATAAAATAAGACAAAAGACAAATAGCCAACGAGCTTTCCGCTCTAGACGTATCGCTGTCAAATATGCATGTTTAATAAGAACTATAAACGAATTTTGAAATAGCCAGTGGTTTATTGTGACTGTAAAACTTCCAAAATAATTCTGGTTTGGCTAAAATTATTAAAGATATAATATTTTATTATTAGAATGTTTTTGGTTTATTTCGAGAACTTGACTATAATAGTATTTCAGTTTTCGGAAAAACATTTTTAGCGATATTTGTTATTTATTTACTTACTGCTGATTAACACTGTCTTAAATTAAGTTCATCTTTCTCGTTGTTGTTTTGTTTGTTGAAATATGGTTTTATTTATAAATAAAAAAAGTATTTGGAAGACAATTTTAAAGGTTTTATTTTTTAATATAAAAACATTATTTAAAATTGTAAACTTCAATACTGGAGGTAGGAAAACTTCATTGGACATATTTTTTTATTTCACGCTGTAAAACATTAGTACTTGCATTCTATTTTGTAGCTCTGTTATAAAATATATAATTTAAAATCTTTCGATTTTATTTTTTGCATTTGGTGACAAAAATAAGGATAAATAATCCTGCTATTTTTTTTATAAGTTTATATAAACCATAAACATTAATAAAAGCATTTTCATTAATCATATTTTTATGGTTTGTGTAAAGAGTGTATAAAGTTACTCAGAAAGAATGTCTCATGCGTATGTACATATGAATGACTGTAATTGAAATGTATTAAGCGAATGAATCAGCATAAATTACGGTCGTATTACGGTGAGTGTGGTCGGAACTTGTACTATTACTTATTGCTGTGTCATTAAAGCAGTTGCTCGCAATGTCTTTAAGTTTTCTGGTGCGATCTTAACAGTTGGCTGTGAGACCATCTTCATAACGCTTTTCTTCAGTATAACTGTTCTTATAGTATGCCCCAGGGCTCTTATCGGGAGTAGGAAAACATCAAGGTTATCAGCTTGCACGAAGTGTTCTCAGAATATTTTCTTACCGTAGTTATACTCTTGCTGGAACACGAAAGGCTATTGTTGTAACACAAGAGGTGCTTCAATTGCGATTCATTTGATTCTACTTAAAATTTTATTTCTTAGATTTCTCTCCAAAGGTGGTTTGTTAGTATAAGTATTTATTTATATTCTTTAATTTTTCTTTAGAAAATTCTGTAGAGAATGGTTATGTATTAAATCTACTGTGAAATATATAAAAGAAATATAAATTGGAGTTAAGCATGAGGTGGGTGATAAATATATGAACATGTGAATATAAACATATATATATGTTCTTTTAAATGAAATAGTGTTAAAATAAAGTTTTTGGCTTTTTGTGAGTGTTGCGAGCTTTGATCTAGTAATGGCTTGAAGTCAGTCGGCGGGACGCCGCCTCGTTGTCGCGTCGCTGCCGCCTTTGCAGATTATTGACCCCTAAATGTAGGATAACGACATTTGTTACGATCGCCGTTTTAACGTAGTTGTAGAGCAATGGGTGCGCTTAAAGTAATTGTTGATCAGTCTTAAAAGTTTCATCAGACCCATCACAGTAAAAACTATTTTTAAACGATAATGTAAAATGTGTAAGAGGTGGCATTATTAAATTGAATCGATAAATAAAACTATTCCTGATGAATAAGTGCAATATGATAATGTAATAAATTCTTAAAGCGAACATAGAGATGATACCTTCGTCTCAATATGACATTTACTAAATTTTCAAATCAAACTGTTTTGTCTGCTGTTCAATGTAGGATTTTCTTTTAATATATAAAAATTGAAATATGTGTTGTGGTTTGATTAACAAAGTGACCGTTGACGTAATATCCCAGAAGTCAAAGGTCTTGATCCTGTTTGAATTTATGAGTTATTTATTCTCTGTTTTATTATAATTTAAGTAATTTGGGAGAAAATTATACAAATATATTAAATGATAAACCAAGATAACTAGGTCGCTGATTTTTTTTGGTATTAACAAAATTATTATTCGACCTTTATATTTATTTTACTTCAACATAAGATTATTTATGTAAATTTTGCAGCCAATATTTTGATAAAATAATAAGCATATTATATTGTTAATAAATATCAGTTATTTAATAAAATTTTGCAATGAGTTTTTACGGAAAAAGATTTTATTATTATATATTTTTTATTTTCATTCTATACCATTATTTTTATCATCATACGTGTGTACATATGTATTTATATATATTCCCTATTGCATGGAAATTATAGCTTAGCAGATAGTCATTAAAATTAAAGCTTTTCATTTCTTATAGGTATTTATATTAAATATCAACATACTGAATTTATTCTATCAAAAGATTTTCAGACTGAAATTTTTTGTGTTTTTTCCGTAGGTTAATTTTTGTTATTATTCAGTTATTAAATAAACAAATATCATATTAGGTTTAATTGCGTTCACCATTACATATTCTCCGAAGTTGCATATCACAAAGTTCTTTAAACGTTACGAGTTAAAGTGTAGCATGAAAATGAAAATAAGTGAATACAACAATTTATTCGTAAAAGTAAGAGACAATTTCACCTCTATTAAATATGACTAACTATCATATAATTCACAATTTAAATTTTCCCTTCACATGATAACTGATTGCTTAAAAATTTTAATGGTTATTATAAAACATTTCACAGAACAGACATTCCATCATGTACAAAAGTAAAATTTATAAACATATTTTTAGATTGAAATGAATGGATATTTCGTAAATTTATAAACGAAGCATATCTATTTCAGATCAAGTAGATATTTCTATGTATAGATGTTTAACTGAACTATTTTCGTTCATCAGTCCTTCGTATTTAAAGAAAAATAAGTCATTTTAGTTCATCTTATACTAATACTTTTTCATTTTATTATATAAAAAAATAAAAATAACTCACATTGTATTCAAAATTGTTTCGCTTACCATTTTACACAAAATATTTGTATTACGAAGTTACCATTATTATTATTACAATTTTTGTTTCGAAAGGTGACAAAAAATACTTATAGCTTTTAAAGAAATTGAATTTTTAAATAAAAAAACCTATATGAATAAAGTCAAAAAAGAAATAGTTTTGGAGTAAACAGAATTTATGACCAACGTTATAAAAGTAAAGAAAACGCTTTAAAAATAAAAGAATAAGTTGGAATAAAACGGAATCATGCATGTAGTTGCTCACAATTTATCAGTGCATGTTTTCACTTCAACACTAATTTTATACATCTCGAATGCAAACAACCAAGTTAACTGTAGTTTTTTTAGAAACTAATTGGACACATAAATTAGGAACTTTAAATGTTTATAAGAAACACATGAAATAGTTTGGATTAAAAGTCAAATGGAATTTCGAGTTTCTAGTAAAAAAGGAAAATTTGATATTTTTACTCAAATTAAAATAATTACACATTAAGCTATTTCCAATATTTTTTATTACTAATAAAAAAATCTATATAATAATATGATATAAGTGAATTTCTTTTATATTTTATTATGACATTTTTGTAATCATACAAGTAAAGTAAAATAAATTCCACCAAGGTAGTAAATAGCAATTTAGTAGGACATTGTATAATTTTCGATACTCGTTTTAGGGGAAATGAGGAAAACCTGTGTTTTCGAAACCATTCCAATCAGCAGCATTTAATGATACCAAATTGCCACTAATCGGATTTACGCTAACATTTGGACTAAATAAAGGGAAATTGGTTCATTACCCAGCATGAAGTGAAGCGGTGATACCTTCGCAAGTGTTCAACCCTAATGTCAAAGCCCCCAGACCATAGAATGAGATTATATTTGGTATATAACAATTTCCTAGAATACATATTGTAATATAAACTCGTATGAAATTAAATGCTGTTCTCATAAAAAAAAATCATTTTAATATATTATACATTTTTGTTTTGTGTAACATGTGTTACATTTACTTTTATGGGCTTAAAAATAGGATGGTTATCATATTTATATAATAACTACATATCAATTTTCCTTTTGTTGTTTGTATGTAACAAGTAAAAAATTTAGACATGAGAATATCAATTTTCTAAATTAAAAATTAATATTGTCTAAATGAATAAATTCTGTGCATTAAAGCTAATTATTAGCCTTTAGTTATCACAATTATAACTTTTAATAGACGTATTCGTTATCAATGGAAGTACCATTTAAAAATATTTTAAATTAAAGACCCGCATCGGATCGCCGGCGAATTGAGTTAAATCCAAGTTGGAGTTAAGGACACCTTTTAACTTTGAAACTAGAAAACTTAATGGCAATTCAAGGTTTTGTTTATAACGTTGTGGCTTATTTGCTTTCAACTTTAAATAATATATCTGAAAGAAAATATTTTACATTACATACAAACTTTTAATAATTTGCCTTATAAGTCCAATTTACAGAAGATTGAGATTGTTGAAGAATTAATTCATGGTTGGTCTGAGAGGTTCCTTGTGAATTAAGTTTCTTAAAAAAAACTCTTTTATTTAAATGTTCCATGTGATTTGTATAACATTTTTATTATTGTGAATTATAAAGGAGGTTTAATTCTGGTAAATTAAAAAGGAGATGAATGCACTAACATTCAACATTTCTGGAGAACCCTAATTAGTTTTTAATGATGGAACCATAAGTGAATAACATTCTTCACGTATTTTCCTTCTTGAAATGTTGACTTAGTAAAGTTAGAATACAGTAATTTTGAAATCTCAATCTTGTAAGATAAGTTTAATAATAATTTAATGTGTC